ATTTTTTAAAGATTCTTTTGTTTATGAATAATTTTGAGTAATTTTAGTTCTTGAAAAAATTTCTAATTTAATAAATTTTAAAAATACAAAATTATAAAATTCTAGTTATTTCAAATGCTGTCAAGAGATTATTGAATTCAAGAGATTATTACCAAATTTTGTAATAAAAAAAATTAAATGTGTTTAAGAATATCTAAACATAAAATTTAATAAACATAATTAAAAAAAAAAAAACAATAAGTGACTAAGGTTTTCCTATTATGTATTTAAATTTTACTTATTTAAATGTACTTTCAACACATTAAAGTTATATAATAGGTCAATACACATTTAATTTAATATTAAAAATATTTAATAGAAATGCTTATTAAATAAAAATTAACAAAAATATTATGTTTTTACAAAAATTAATATGAAATTCAATAAGAGTAGTTTTTAAAAATCAAAAAGTTCCAAATTTGAACTTACATTGCCAGATTTTCCCTTGCTTAATCACATTAATTTCCTTATGTTTAATTAATGCTTTAATTTTAAGTTAAGAAATTAAATTGATTAAAATTTAATTTCTTTTCAACCAGCAAACTTGTTATACAATTTAACAAAATTAATTTAAATTTTGAATGTTAAGTTAAAATTCCTCGTTTTCTTTCAACTGCAACAAATTATATTTTTACTATACAAAACATATTCCTCGTTTTTTATATTAAGTAGAACAAAATTATAAAAACTTTTACAATAAATTATTATAAAATTTCTTATTAATTAACAACTTATTAAATTACTTATTATAACTTATGCAAAAAGCGAGTTTGTTATTCACTATCATAAGCCAGGAAAAAGCATCGGAGGAATTTATAGAATTATGAATAAAAGTGATTCTGCTGTACAACATATTATATACATACAGCGTTTTCGAGAAAATCGCATGGTAAATAAAATAAGAATAAATCCAAAAAATATTCGCAAAAATCCCAAATTTGTTTCAAAAAATGTTAAAGGTGAAAATTGTTTTGGGATAAAAGTGTGTGACAAAACAATATGAAAAATTTTGAGGAGGTGATTAAAGAAAAAACAACACAAAAAAAAGCGAGAAGAAAGTCAATCATACATTAGAACTAAAAGCAGTTTTTTGAGAACAACATTATAACAAGGAAAATTTCATTCTGGAGAATTGTAAATTTGTTGATAAGTCAATATTTAACATTTTTGGGTCAGATTGGAGAACTAAAGTATAAAGAAAAAAGAATGGAGAATTTCAACATTTATTTTTCAAATGTAAAGCATGACAGCTGAAGAAATTGGTAACCTGCAATTTATTAAGGATAATCTAAACAGCATGTGTCCGAAAATTTTATAGCATAATCTCCTTCTGACGACTATTCTAAGCACATAAATCATAACAAATAAATCAGATCTCAAGGCGGTTATTCAAGAGGGATAGTTAAAAATACCAGCGGATTACACCCGAAAATTAGACGTCTCGATGCATTCATACCAAATATTAGAGCTATATTATTTTAATTTATATAATTGCTATATATTCCAATTTTTAAACACTTTTATAATAAATTATTATAATTACAGTTTTAAATTAATAAATTTAAAAGCGTGATACAAAAAAAATTTTCACAAAACCAATTAAATAAATTACAAAATTTTATTATTTTGTAAATAAACTTTCAATTATGACCAAAACAGCTTAATTAAGTCCTACTTCTAGTTGATATTAATAAAATTGCAAAATACAAAAGTAAAAATAATAGCTTTGCAATCAATTATTATCATAGGGTTGATATTATTATATGTACTTAATCATAGAATACATAATTTTCATACTTTTCTAATAAATAACTGAATAAATTTTATATGTGGGCCAGAAGTAGATGCATAACTACCCACTAAAATTTTGACACGATACATACATACGTTAATGTAATAAAAAAACTATTAGATCTTTACCGGTACAATAGGAACAAATTTAAGTTTCAAATTGAATAGATAAGCAGATACTAAATCGCAATTAAAATTCATCGGCTGCCGACTTTCTGAATTTTATAAGTGAGCTTTATTAACTAGTATGCAATTTTAGATTACCAAAATTTAATGATTTCACAAAATAAATAACAGAGTATGTATAATCATGGGCATACTTCCTATTATACTATTATACAAATCGTTGTTTTTAAAAATTTTATTGAAACTCATAGGCTAGATACATATCTACACAATATAATATAGATTTTCGTACAATCAAGAATTTTTAAGCTCCTATACAAACAGTTTTTTCTAGAATTTTTAAGAAAAAGTCTGATATCTCTTGTTACTAATATGGCGCTTAAAATTTAAAATAAATTTTTTTCGTTTTTTTTTTCTGTTTCTAATTCAGTAAAATCACATTGAATCTCAAAATTTTGTATGGAAAATAATCTGCTAGCAGTTGTTTATAATCTATATTGCATTTCTAATATTGTATAACTTACTTTCACTCATGTTCTGTACTCGCATCATTTGGGTTGATGGATTATTCACAAAATTACGAGATTTTAAATAATAACCCATCAGGTCAAGTGGTATTCGAGTAACCGAATATGGGTATTTTTTGAGTAATAAAGATTAGTATTAAATTTGATTTTTTGAACTATTCATTCATTCGTTCTGCATAATGTTGATGCATGCATATAGATATTATGTCATACATACATTCATAATTGCATATGCAAAACAGACATACATATGTATGTAACATTGCGTATAATTATTAATAATGTACAGCAGTTATTAAGTATTTTATTGTGCACTGAACTTGATATGTAATTTTGTTTGTATGATTAATTTACATAGGTACATTAAATTACTATTAAAAATTAAAAACATATGTACATATATACATATGTACATGCAGATATGTGTGTACTTGGGTATGTATTTTACTTATATTTTATTATTTTGTATAAGAACATAATATTTACTATTATATTTTAAATCAAATCATATTTTCACTATCAAATAAATGTTTTCATTTTTATAAAGTTAACTATAAACAACCAAATTATTTACTTTAATTATGCATTATAATGAAATTTTTAGGACTTACTCAAAATGTGTTTAATGCAACTGCAACAAAACTTGTTATATTATTAACATAATGAATTTTGTTTACCTTCATATCTTTTCAATTAAATTACTATGACAACGGTTCGCATGACGCTATTAATTTACATATTACATTGTAAATATTCCCAGGTAAAAATACATATATATGTTCATCCATGCAAGTTAGTAAGTTGATCATTCTGTAAATTTACGCGAAATATTTTTATTTTGAAGGGAAAAATTTTTAGATTTAAGCAAAGATCATGAGTCTAGTAGGTAATCCATATCCAATTAATCTGGTATGTAATTTATTTCAACTGATGATTTTTTAAAATTCCTCGTTTTCTTTCAACTGCAACAAATTATATTTTTACTATACAAAACATATTCCTCGTTTTTTATACTAAGTAGAACAAAATTATAAAAACTTTTACAATAAATTATTATGTCTTAACTTTTACAATAAATGTCAACGAATTTGAAATAATATGTAGACATGCGTAAGTATTTTTCATAAATATATTTAAGTCTAGTTGTGTATCTCGCACTTGTTTTTTATTCTCTTTCGAATCAGAATTCTTAATTTTTTAATTGAATACAATTATACGTACTATTTCATTTTTCAAAGAAGAAAAATAATTTTTCCAATTGAATTTTCGCAATTTTTCTCAGAATAATAACTGAACTTGTCACTTTCAAAAATAAAGTGAATGTAGACTAAATTTGGTAAATTTTAGAAAAAAAATATACATACATAAATATGTATGTATGAAGCATATGATACTCATTCGCTTTCTTCTCACTCGGCGAGCAAAATTATCAAGTCAACTATAAAATTAGTCAAGCGTCGGAGAAAATATTACCTGCGACACTTTTATAAATTCCTGTATATATGTATCTGAAAATTAACCACTAAACATTTATTTAAACCAATTGACGTGCAATTATGTAAAATATTTTACTTTGTAATTTAAAATGTTTGTAGAATTACAAAATGTATATTGTTTGTTTTGTAAACTTCCATTTCAGCTGTTACAACGGTCAAAGCACACGAGGGTAGGCGAGTTATGCTTTGTTCATTACCCTTAGCCAAAGACGCATAAGTATATCTATTGAAGAATAAGTCCCGTCTTTACTTTAAAAGAGCATAAAAATAAATAAATTTTGATTATAGTTCGCTTTAAGTACGACGAACTAATGTCTTCAGATTAATTTCCCTCCATAAAAGAAAAATATTACCAGTACAAAACTCAAAAACTCTTGCAGAAACCCGCATTTTGATGACATTCCACTTTCAAGTTTAATAATATTTTTAAATGTCAACTTTTAAAACAGAAAATTTTTATTTGAAAAACTTTCGTTTTTCTGGTTAAATGCGTTTCCGCCTATGGAGAAAAAGAAAAAGTGAATGAAACAGACAAATTCACTTATGTGTAAACCCACGATTGAACTGTATGATTGATTTAAATACCAAACGTCAAAACTAACAAAAAAATAAGGATCCTGGAAACTAAACAAAAGTTAAAAAATAATTTAAGTTGAATTTTAATAAAAAATAATAAGCCTTGAGGCTAATTTTAAATAACTTAATTAAAAATTAACTGAGTTATTATTTGACACCGTCAAAGTCTTATGTTCAAAAATTAATATAATACGTTCCGCCAACATTATTTTCTATTTTAAACTTTACGTTGTATAAGTTGGAAAAAAATTACATCAATTTTAAAATAATCTTGGAATCAAACATGAAAAAATTGTTTACTCTGAAATTATCTGAAAAATTTTCGTTTGGCCACACCAATATTTAATTTATCGCTGGCTTAAGTCAGCGACTAATTTGCAAAATATAAATAAAATAAATATGTGTGTATCTATTATTTTGTAAATACATTTTGACACAACAAAAATTTCATGTCGGGAAATACACACAAAAGTAAGAAAAGATAAGATTTAAAAGCTATACAGTTTACGTGATAAATTCGAAGGGACATTGTAAAACAAATAATTTAACAAATTGGTAATATTATAGTAAAAAGTTAAATTTGCAGTCAACTTATAAAATCGTCTGATTTCCTAACGTTATTTAAAATTATGTGTTCAGAAGATGTTAAACCAATGGAAATTGGTTGGCGTAAAGAAGTGCTTGAACAGGAAACAGACAATAATGCTATAGAGAATAATGCACAAAATAGGAAGGTTAACGAAAAAAATTGTTTGTCCTCTGAAAATAATGAAAAAAAGTCGTCATCGCCAGCCTCATCATCATTCGATCGCAGAAGTAGCAGTAGTTCGTCATCTTCCAGCTCCTCCTCTGAAGATGAAAGAAAAAAGCGTAAAAAAGAAAAACATATAAAACGTCGAGAAGAAAAGAAAAAAAAGAAAGAGGAAAAACGCAAGAGAAAAGCAGAAAGGAAGGAGCTAAAACGTCTTAGAAAAGACAAACATAGAGAAGAAAAAAAATTGAAAAAGATCGCAAAAAGGGATAAAAAAAATAAGGACAACGTTGATGCTTCACAAAATTTAAATGATAATTTTGAAGTACCAATTGGTAAGTAAAGTTTAAACTGTTTGTCAAATAAGAACCAGACTGTTAGAAAAAATATTAATATGGTTTTCTTCTGCTAAATTTAACATGTGAACTTGAGTAGCCACTTGCATATCTACTATTCTGCCGAACTGCATGAATAATATAATATTTTTTAACATCAGTAATTTCTTTTTATATTAAAATTTTTGTTTTTATTAAGAAAATGTTGAGATATTAACATTTTAAAATCTTTTTATGTGAATTTTTAGAATTAATGAATTATAAAGCTAAAGCACCAGAGACTCCAGAAGAATATAAGGCTCGGCAAAGTCAAATAAAACGGGTAGTCGATCCAGAGACGGGACGTACAAGATTAATAAAAGGAGATGGCGAAATTTTGGAAGAAATTGTTAGTCGTGACCGTCATAAGGAAATTAATCGGCAAGCAACTATGGGCGATGGGCAATATTTTCAATCAAAAACTGTTGGATGGAAAAACTGATTTTCATACAAATACAAGATTCAATTTTGTTTTAAATAACTATTATTTTAATTTAAATTTTATTAAGCAATCAAAATATATTCAATTATTTATATATTAATGTAAATAATATAATATCGATAAAGGTTAAGACTATTCAACTACTTAAATAATTATCACGATTTTTCTTTTAATATTATTATAACTAAACAATGTAATTATTTTAAAATTAATAAAATAAGAGTTTTTAACATTGAAAATTCATTTTGGTTGTTTTGGTAATTTAAAAACATAAATCTGTTCTATAGGTAAAATAAAATTAAAACTTGCCTTGTTTTTTTTTAAAATGCATATTATTTTTTTCTTATGAAAATATTGTGAAACTCAGTATAATTGTACAAAAAACGTTGTCGCCCCATCTTGCCAAGATGGATCGTCGGCTACTTTTGCGCGACATAAAGGACAAGTTTGTTCTCTTGTAAACCATGTTCCAACACATAATTCACAAAAAACATGGTTACATTCAAGTATAACTGGAGTATCGAAATTATCATGACAAATGGGACATTGACCAGCAGTCTGCAATTCTTCACGAGTAGGTTCTCTTCCATAGCTCTACAAAAATACAAGCATAAATAAAAAAAACTTTATACAATGTAACCAACTGATTTCTAGTTTTTAAATAATGCTTACGACTTTTTTTTGGAAATTAATGAAGGCTTTCCTGAAGAATTTTCCTCTCTCATATATATCAATCGCCTTTGAAACAATATAAACTGCGGAAAATAGAACTCCCAATGCCTGGAAAAAAATTAATTAAAAAATTTTCATGTACTTATTTATAATTCAACAATTTACCTTTTCCATTCCTGTATAAGAATCTAAAAGAAAAAGCAACCAAAGCTCTATAGGAGCTAATGCTCGATATAATTGAGAAAAGCCTTCAATTAAGGCATATATTCTTCCCTAAAAATTAAAATAGTTGAAATATTTTTGCATAAAATTCTTAAATAATCATTTTACTCGTCTTTTGTATTTTATTATATTTGGTGGTAAAATTGTAATAAAAATTTTAACAACTATGGTTGCTAGTTTTAACAATAAATCGGTTACAGCCACTGAAAATAATAGTGGACTTAGTGATATAGTTTTTTCTATCTGATCAGTTGTCCAATTTAAATTTATCAAAAATAATCCATACAACGTTTGCTCATCCACAAATAAAAAACGAAGTAAAACTATAGCAAATATGTAAAGAAATTCCCTAAGTAACAGAAGTACACTACGTGATGTTTGATTAGCAATTTGGTCACGTAATAGTGAATTAGAATGTAGGAATATTACGGACAAAATAAATAAATCTGTCAAGCCCCTTATATGATCATAGGTTGATTTGGCCAAAAGTATACATACAAATGGTACGTATCGAAGGAGCATGTTCATAGCACGTCTCGCTTCAGGTACTTGTGCGAATATTTCGGCTACAGAATCATCATTTGAATCATCACCTCCACCATTTCTGTCATTATTAGAGCGTTCATTTGGTAATAAATCGGGTGGATCGTTCCGTTGTAAATTAGCTACGCGTTCTTGTAATGCAGTCCTTCTTGGCGGTATTGGTTCTTGAATGTGATGATGATGATGATGCTGCTGCACATTTCCATTTCCTTGCCTATTGTGATTATGATGATGGTGATGATGATGATGATGGGAATGACCTTGGTCTTGTTCTAAAACTTCCGATGAATTGTTTTCACCACTTGCAGATTGATTATTTGTTCTTCCTATCTGAGCTACGTGTGAAACAGGCACATAGCGAAAAGTTACTGGTCTTGGCATCCAAGTTCGTAAATTATGAATTTGCAGTGAAGGTCTTCGCACACCTTGAAATACATTTTGAAAAGATGACCATGGTGTAGTTCGCAGTAATAACGCTGAAAAATTCATATTCGATTGCTCTTGAATTTGTAAATTATTATTTACGATTCCATTATCTGTTATTGGTTGGGCGACTGTCGATGATGACATATCTATTGAAAGTTGTCGCGGACTAGTAGAATTATTTGAATTTCCTGCAATGTTTTCTTCTCTATTAGAACTATTACCACTTACGACTTGAGATGTACTTGCATTACTCTGTGGTGCTGAACCATGTATTTCAATACGAATATCCGAATTTGGTGAACTGACAAAATTATTTACACTCACAACTCTGGTATATGTGTTTAAATCACCCAAGTTATTATTTTGATTAGATGAATCACTCATTATGGAATATTGTTTTAGAATATACAACTTATCTTTCCAATCATATTTAATGTTTTTCCTTGTAATTGTTTCTTATACAACATAAACTGAAAATTATAATATTCAATTTATGTACGCGTATTTAATAAAACTTTACCAAATTATATTTTAGAAAATCGCAAAACTTAAATATGACGTACAAGCAAATATTCATTTTTATACATTTTTTGCGGAAATGACAGCTAAAGTTGAATTATGTCAATATTGAAATTACGACAAGGCAAAAGTAAACAACAAATTCAGCGATTATTTCGTTTTAAATCTGCTGTGAGTTTTGACACTAGAGTTTCACTGGACTACAACCGAGTTCACGTATGTAATTACAAGAACATTAAAGAATTTTACTTTTTGTAAATTTAAAGAAAAATTTTGTGAAAATTTCTCGTGTTGTTTAAAGTACTTTTTACATACACGGCAAAATCTAGTAATAAATTTAAGTTAAAGTCTGCTGCATGTTTATTTGTCAGATTAAAATACTGAAATTATCTTGTGACAGTTATCAAATTTTCAGGCTTATCGTGTATCTCTCTTTTTTATTCACTTTCAAATCAGATTTCTCAGTATGTTCTAATTGATATATCACATTTCCAATAAGATTACTCATTTTTTTAATTTTAATTTTTGCAGTTTTTCTCAAATTATCGATTGACCGTCTTGCTTTCAATAACAAACTGTTGCTTACTTTCCAAAAAAATTCTCGGGTTTTTCTATAATATATACAAAATTTTTCACTTTGTTTTTGAAACTGAAACATTCAGTCGAAAATTTGAGAAAAAATGGAAAAATCTTATTGAAAAAATAAGTAATTTTATTGCAATATCCATTAGAAAAACGGAGAATTATGATTTGAAAGTGAATAAAAAGTGAGAAGAAAAAACTAGAAACACAATTGCGCTGTTTAATCTTACCCAGCATTTACACGCACAAGTTACTTGCAAGAAAGTTGCAATACATACAAAAATTTTACTAACACATTGAAATATTTCTACTTGCTTGTTTACTTGCAGTTCAACTTGCAAGAAAATTTTGCTGCCAGTAATTTGAGCAAGTAATTTGACATATTAAGAAATTCACAAAAAAAAATTTGTTGTTTTGATTTTTTTTTTTTTTTTAATTTAAAATTTTTGAATTTTGTTTTGAAAAAATTAAACTTAGCAAACTTATGGTTTCTAAAATTTATAAACAATTATATATATTGCTAGTTGTTTTCTTCTCAAAGACATTTTCAAAAATTAACTTGCTAAACGCCTACGGCATAATAGCAAGTAATTTGACATTTCGAAAAACTAATTGACAATTAATATTATACAAACTTGCTTGCAAGTAACTTGTATGTGTAAATGCTGGGTTAAGTTCGTTTGCATGTATATACGACAACAGCCATATACATTAATATATGTCGTATGTCAGCATCTACTTTTTGTTATTTATGCGGCAATTATATTATTCTGAAATATCTGTCAAACTTATTACAATTTCTGACTGTTAGACTAGATGACAAACCGTGTTGGATTTCGATCATGAAAGCACTGGAAGCAGATTGTTGAATACATATTATGTTGACTTTTTAACTTAATATAAATAGAGGAAAACGATAAATTTCAAGTATTACATGCTAGTGACAGGTAATTTTGCAAATGCAAATCAGATGGTAATCTGTTCAATTGTGCTTTTTAGAAAATATTCTAAATGAGTTTCTTAAGATCTATTTGTCGAAAGTTTTCCACACTCAATGGAAGTTGTTTCTTGGAAAAGCTTCATCATCGTGATATTATTCGAGTGAGCGGGAATGAAGCTAAGCAATTTCTTCAAGGTTTAACGACAAATGATATGAATCACTTCGAAAGAGGTAGCAAGTCAATATACTCCATGTTTTTGAACAAAAATGGGCGAGTAATGTATGATTCAATTATTTTCAAAGCCGCTGATCCGGATACTTTCTTAATAGAATGTGATAAAGATATATCTCCAGATTTGAATAGGTACTTACGATTATTTCGTGTGCGCAGGAAAATAAACATTGACAGTATAGAAAATGATTTTTCTACCTGGGTGTTGTATGATAAAGAAAAAAATTTCGAATCTTTAGAGATACCAAAAGAAATGAAAGATATACTCATATCAATTGACCCTCGCTTAAAAGCCTTAGGATGTCGTTTAATCGTTCCAAGTTCATTTGAACCACATCAGCTAGAAAATATATTTTTAAATCAATTAAAGCTAGTTTGTAGTATAGACGGAGAGAATGATTACAAATTACATCGTTATAAGCTTGGCATAGGTGAAGGTGTTATTGATCACCCACCAATGAAATGCTTTCCTTTAGAAACCAATTGCGATTATTTGCACGGTGTCAGCTTTCATAAGGGATGCTATGTTGGTCAAGAGCTTACCGCTAGAACTTATCATACTGGCACCATTAGGAAAAGAATAATGCCTGTGATATCTTTAAATGATTTTTCTGATTCTGCAGGACATATACAGTTGTCTAACGGAACAAATGTTGGAACAATTAGAGGTATTAAAGGTAAAGTCGCATTAGCTTTAATTAGAATGGAACAGGCTTTGAAGGCGCCAGAATTGCTTGTAAACAATACCCTAGTTGAAGTTATTAAGCCGGAATGGTGGCCACAATCACAAAATTCCTGAAATTCCAAAAAATGGAATTATGGTTTTTATTAAAACATGAATAAAATTTTTTTCTAGTCAAAATATATAAAATTCCTTTAATATTTATCACTTTTTTTTCTTTTTTCGACTCGGCCTGCTTGGACCGGTTTTTTTAATTGTTTTTTTTTTACATGATAAGGGATTTGGCCCCCTTGGCTTTTTCTTTTTGTTCATAATTTTTGTTACGTTTAGTTCCTTGTTTATACCTTCAATTTCTTTAAAAACTTTGATTTTCTGTTCTGTTTGTTTAGATAAAAGGGATCTCATTTTAATTCTGTTAACAAATTTTTTTGATGCTTTTGAAGGCTGTTCTAATACCGGTGTTGCTTTGTGCAAGTATATTATAGCTTGTCCAGCCAAACGTCGCAGTTTTTCTTGTAAATCCCTGTCCTGAGTTGATATAATATATTTACTTGATTTAACCTAAAAACAAAAGCGCTACATTTTTCGGCTTATATTTTGTTAGCTTTACCATTGAATATATGCACTCTGATGCTGGTACTGGCTTTCCCTCATGACCACATTTATGCACTGCGAATTTTTTTACTATTTGAGTAGCTCCACTCAGGGAAGCTCCTAAGCTTTCAGCTTCTAAAATACAGCAATATGTGGTTAAGAGTTTTAATTCTGATTGGAGATATTTTTTAAGTTGATCATTTATTTGAACTTTATTCTACAAAAAAATGCGCGTCGTATTGTTGTTTTAAATGTATTACAAATGCAGTACCTTTAGAGCTGCTTGACAAAAGGTAGCATCCACAAGAACTTGATACGGTTGATGGTAATTGAAATTTGTTATATAGAATGCCATAGTTTTATGACTTTTTTTTAAACGTTCAATTTTCATTTTTTTATTTTTTTTAGTTTATGTTTTATAATGAAACTTTATTTTAACTTAATCTCACTTTTGTTTTTGCAATTCTGTTTTTAAAGGTTATTTTGACAATTTGAAATAAATATCACTATTAAATTAAGTCTTGCCGACTTTATTTTTGTCGAGTAAAATTACATCATTAATTACCTAATATAATTAATCGTTCAAAATACATTTTCAAAATATTAAGTTTTGTACTATGATTGTAGCAATATTAGGTACTTCGCTAAAACGAAAAGTTTATCACTAGTACACATTGATGTCAGATGTACTGCCCAATGATCTCCTCACAAAAATTTACGCCAATTAATGACTTTTTGCGATGTAACGATTTTTGCAAATACGTTCCAGAATTTTAAATTTTTTAAAAATGAAGAGTTTGAGATAAACTTTAGGCTGATATCTTTAAAAGAATTAAATTTTCATTGAAGAATTTCAATTTATTATAAAGTTTGCGCCATGTGTTTAAAAAACTGAAAGAAAATCTTGTTATTTAGATATTTTCGCCATCAGGCAGAATCTTACGTCAGATCTTGATTAGACAATTTTTCATGTGATGTGTTAAGGACAATTGAAACTATTGCCGATTTAAGAGAATATGATCTACCCTTAAGTTAGGTTTGAACCTATATATTTAGTTTTGTAAATGGTAAACAGTAAATTATAGTGACATTTAAGAAATTTTTGTAAAAGTGCGTTAGCTAGCGTATTTCGCAAAAAATTAGCCTTGAATTAATTATCTGAATTCGCTCCCGTCGAATTTCAAATTTATTTTTTTTTTGGGTAAGTTTATACATCAAATTTGCTTCATCAAAACATATCAGATTTTCATTCAATCAAATTCATGTTTGATTGAATGAAAATCTGATATGTAAACATTTTCAGTTTTTGTTTGAGACATATGAAATTTAATATGGTAATTTCTGTTTTTGAAAGATATGCTCTATTGCTTTTATTTTGAATTTTTGTGCTTTTAACCAGTTTCTTAGAACGTTGCAAGTGATTATTTAGCAAAATAATAAGCTTTACTAGGCACTAATAAAAGTTCAAAAACAAACACAAAAAGAAAAAAAAATGTCAAAAAAGCTGATAGTTTGATTATAAGACGTGTAAACAGAATTTTTTCTCAGACTGTCAAAAAAAAATTGAATGTATAAAGCATTTGACATAACGAAAATATTTCTGTCAGTAAGGCATCTAAAATTTGGAAAATTAGTAAACAAATATACCGTAAATTCATGCGGCTAGAATCAATTGTTGGAAGTTTTGATATAAATTATTATATAAAAATTTATATCAAAGTATAATTAACACTAAAGTGTAATAATAAATGGTAACATTAAATAATGAACTTTAGGTTTGAGTATCCACCTACGTATCTGCAAAGTAGAAATAATCTTGAAATTTTGATTTTCAATTTGTTAAGAAATTTGTTTGAAGATTAGTAGATGAATAAGAGCGGAGATACTAGAAAGTTATCTATTCAATTCAACTTGAAATGTCTGAATCAGAGGAAAAATCTGGAAAGCAAGTTTCAAATGAAAATATTGGGAGTCTAGATAAACTGCATGAAGATTTGAAACCCAAAATACAGTTTTCATGTTATTTATGTGGAATGTTTGAAGAATGCCATTATAAAGGGAAGGAACCACCCTTTGTGAGTGGTAGTGTTAAATTTCGAGAAGAAAGCTATGTCATAAGGGATCCATTTATTGCTCCTCCACCCTTGGGGAAATCTAAAGCCGAATATTTTATAATTATTGGTACACAATGTGTGATTTGTAAAAATTTAGTATGTAAGGGTTTATCTTGCAGTTTTTATTATAATGTTACTTACTGCTTAAGCTGTTTAGAAGAAGTTATGACGAAATTGCCAAAGGAAGTGCAAGTTAGAGCTAAAAAGCAAATTGCAAATTCAAAATAATAAACATTTAGAAGTTAAAAAAATTTAATGAAATTTTATTTATCCTTAGGTGCTATCTTCTTAGCTAAGTCCATGAGATGATTTCGCCTTTTACACTTTTTATTATGCTTAAAATTAATTACTCATTAATTATTAAAAATAAATATACATACATATTATATAAGAATTAACGTACCTTTTTGTTATTAGCTTTTTTTCCTCTATAATTTAATTGCGCAGTGGTCTTCTTTGTTAGTTTTTTTAAATTTTTAGGATTTTCCGTGGCTAAATTATTTTTTGAAAAACTTCTCGAAGGCTGATGAGTTTTGCAACCTAGTTCTTTAGACATTTTCTTCATCATTCTCCTTTCGAATCCTGTAAGAACTTTTTCACTACTTCTTTTTGGTTTTATCAGTTTTTTCTTTTCTGAATATTTTTCAACGTGTATTGGCCTATCATCTAACAAAGTTTTGTCTAGTTCCATAGCTAAACCTACAGAATCCCGTTTTTTGAAACAAATATACGCACATCCTTTACAACCTTTTTCATTGTTAATTGTTCGAACGTATTCGATATCTCCACATGTTGAAAATATATTGTGTAGTTTTTCCTCTGTTGCAGCTGAAATATTATTATTAGATTGTAAATAAATATTTAAAATATTTTGGAATAACAATTACAGTATCTCAAATTTCCAACGAAAATAGTTCTTTTGTTTACATCTTCGTCTAAGGAAAATTTTTTTTCTAGTTTTGTCACTCGTATGTGATGATTTTTAAATTCAGTACCATTCAAAATAAGACAATTTTCTGCATCTTCAATGGATTTCATCACGGCATAAGCAATAATAGTTGAAAAATTTTCTGATTTCATTTTATTTAGAATTTTTTTTCCATTTGGCCTTCGGAATCGACAGTTCTTCATTTCACCATATGGCTTAAGAAATTTCGCCAACTGTTGCTTCTTCGTATTAAATGGTAAATTCCCAATGAAAATTGTTCTTGCATTTCTTTCTTTTTGCTCTATTATAAAATTATAAATAATAATTTGGAAGCGTGAAATACTTTTACAAAGTTTTACGAATAATTTAAAAAAATGAATATAAAACTTTTGTTTTACATTATATTGAATTTTATTCTAAAATCTTTACTAACCATCTTCCGTTAATTTTGTATTGATTGCTGTATCTGCCTTCGTTTCTGTCTTGTCTTCCTCTTCAGTTTTTTGAGATTTCACTTCAGCAAATGTTTTTCCATTTTTTTTTGTTGAAAATGTTTTGTCTGCATTTTTTAGGATATATTATTGATTCTGATAACAATAATGCATATTTCATAGATGTTACCTTTTAAGGTGTTTTTCTTTTTTTTAGATTTTTTTTCAGGGATATCTTTTTTAACTTTCGTCATCTAAATTATGTTAAACAGGCTCCAATGTCTGTAAGTATGCATGTAATAAAAAAGTTAAAATAACCATGTGAGTTTTTGTTTACAAATCGGAACTGTCAAGTTACAAAATTTTCAAATTTATTCATAGAACTGTCGGTTTTATGCTTTTTAATTGATTTAACAATTTCTGCGTTTACACGATGACTCGTGACGTGAGTTATTAGAAACTTTCATAAAATTACAAATAATTGAAATAATTATATGTATCAATTTTTTGCTAAAACCATGGGTATATTATACTATACGGGCAGAGTGTAGCAGGAAATTTTTGAAGCCAACATGAAATATGATTTATGTACAGTAAAACACGGTTAAGTGGATCACGCTTAAGTGGATTTCACGCTTAATTGCATCAAATTTTCGTACTTTTTTCGATTTTTTCATATAAAAAAATTCGTTTAAGTGGAATTCGGATAAGTGGACAACACGCTTTAGTGGACAAAATTTTCTTGGCTGATCGATTTCCACTTAACCGTGTTTTACTGTACATAAATCATATTTCATGTTGGCTTCAAAAATTTCCTGCTACACTCTGCCCGTATAGTATAATATACCCATGGTTTTAGCAAAAAATTGATGTAATTATCAATTTTTTGCTAAAACCATGGTATAATTAATTATCAATAATCTGGTCAGTGTTCACACTTGGGAAAAACAAAATGTATCCAATTTCGAGAAAATAATGTATCCAAAAACCTCTTAAAGTAGAGTTTTTATACTTAGTCTTTTTTTGTTTTGCGATTTCATATTAGCAGCATTTTAACAATTTTGTAATATTTATTTAGTGTTTGAGAAAGAAAAGTATGCATATGTCAGCAAAATGTTCAAGTGTAGTCAATTTCAGCATTTTAGCAGTTTTGAGCATCTTTGTATTCAAGCTAAATTTAAAGCAAAAATGTATCCAAATTTTAGCAGATTTGAGCATCTTTGTATTCAAGCTAAATTTAAAGCAAAAATGAATGGAATTAATGGATACACATCCATAAAAACGACCATAATGGATACACATTCATAAAACGACGTAACCATTTGGATACACATCCTTAAAAACGATTATTTTAAAGAAAATATTCAACCGAAATTTTATAAGCCAACATATAAAATTTCACTTGAAATTTTTTATGTTGGCTTCGCTTGACAGTACGAGAAACCACATTACTTTTGAAAAATTCAGGAGTCAGCTATTGGATCCTTACTACGGGCCAAATTTCCATTTTTGCGCATATAAAGAGAAATATTAAACCAATTTCCTTGAAATATTATATTTGAGTTGAAGATGTGAAAACAATGAACTTATAATTTTTTTTAGGAATATTAGGGCTCGAAAATTTGTACCATATCCAAGAAACTAATTGACGAAATTTTTTTAAAAGTTAATATTTGGGTTTTGTTTGATATCTGGAGCAACTGACGAACTTTTCAAGGAAACCGGGTAGCAAAAACCGAAAGTCTACTAAGAGCCAAATTTACATTTTTCTAGATATGTTCAATAAAAGCTTATTAGCGTCGTTAAAATTTGAAAGAAATGTTTGAAGTAATTTTTATAATCACTTTGCGGTCGGTTATGTGCTGATCACATCAAATTTTGTACTAAGATAACTGAGTTAAAATTTAAATACTTGAAGATATAAAATATGTATAATATGTACAAATACTTGTAATTTCTACATATGTATATAAAATTGTAATGAAAACCCATTGGATTATCAACCCACTCATATAACTTTTTTATAATAGAAATAAAAAATAAAGGATAATAATTCGGAATAAAGGGTTAAATGTATTAAAAAATATAGATATATAATATGTATTGTATTATGTATTTGAAATTTTGCATGTACAATGTTTATAATATTTACACATGTATATAGTATAAATAATTATGTATGCATATGCATACGCAGTTTTGTATATTATTTTGGTTGTTGTTATACAAATATGGCAATAAGAAACAACTGTTCGGCAAAATTAGTTGTTTCGAGTAAAGCATTGAAGTCGTTTTTAGAAAAATTTTAAGAATTCAATCAATAACATAGAATTGATTGAGGTGGTATTCAAAACTAGTTTATGAATTTGGGTTTTTTGCTTGATTTTTATCAGATTTTATTCACACAATCATAACTTTAATCAGATTTTCAATAAATTTCAACAGAATTTCTATTGTAATTTCGTTAGATTACTGAATTTCAAGAAATAAGTTTATCAACTTTTTTGAGGATTTTTTCTTTTACTGACGTTAATTTGAGCACTTTAAAGTTTTCGAATTTGAATTCAAATACATATATTTTGTTACACTAATTTTTTGCTATATTGCTTAAGGAAGTTGTGCGTTATTGCCCCTGATATTTAAAGGGTTAAAATTTTTTTTATACAAAATTTTTTTTCATGGATAATCTTAGTCGTATAATATATGTACATACAATTACATACGTTTGTACACAGTTCTACATAATATATGTATGAAAACAACTTCATATTTAATATTGAATTGTGTATGTTTTAATGTTATACAGGTTCATTGAAAGGGCATTTAAGTTTTTAGATTTTAATTTGCAAAAGTTTTTGATCTTTTATATTTTTCATTTTTCAATGTTTTCCTTTTTTTCCTAATTTATCCGATTAAAAAATGCTACTGACTTTCCTGTGTTATACACATGCATAAAAATATTTTCAATAAAGGATGAAGAAACAAAATTAAAAAAAGGATTACTTGCAAGTTAAATGAATTATACGAGTAACTTAAAATTTTATACAAAAATTCTGTAATACTATATGAAAATTAGTTTTCCATCTCAATATAATATAAAGAATATAATAATTGTTAATTATATCAACGATCTTATTAAACCGTTCTTAATATGAAATAAGATATTTTCATAATAAAACAAATACATCTATCTTTATTACACACTCACCATATTTTATAATAGAGTGAGTCAGTAGTCCGTGCTTAAAGAAATGCTATCGTTTCCGAATCTTTATATCGTAATATGGAGATTCGCAAATTTCTAATTACCCAAGTTTGGTCCAGGAGATATATTAAACAAAACGATTTGAATTTTAAGTTTTTAAAAACTTTGCTATAAACTCACACAATTGTCACTGGAATTCAAAATGGGCAGAGTTCTATTTTAAAAAAATTTGGTTAATTCCATATATTTAATGGTTTTGTATTCTCTTATAATAAATTACAACGAGTATTTTAAATTCAATGGATTTGTTTGGATTCGATGGAGTATTTTAAATTCAATGGATTGTTCTGGCCACTTTAAAATTTATATTAGGAGAGTTGTGTTAGTTTTTCAAATTAGAAACATTGTCTTTATTAATCGGGTCGCTGTTGTGGATCTATAGTTTTAAAACTTTTACATTATATTGCTGTTGGAAGCCATTAGACTTGATTTTCTTTAATTGATTTATTTATGCACAACTGATTACATTATATTTGATGTGAGAAGCATTCAAGACACTAATCGACACAGACACAAATCGTTAAATTTATTGAATTTTTAACACAAGTTTTGTGCTCTTTTAAATGGGGCTATTATGGAATATTTTTCTACAACCTTTTAAATTTTTCTTTTATATTTTTCTCTTCTCTACATTAATTTGTTAAGGTGTAAATATTGTCATCTTAAGGGAATATTTACTTTTTATGCATTAGAGTTCAAAATTTTCAATATGAGTTTTTTTCAATTTTTCTTTTTATTTTTCATTATTTTATTGGCTTCGATGAAAAACACTTTCTCTTATTCAAGAAAATATTAAAATATTTCAAATTTTCAAAATTTGAAATTATGTTTTCTTTGATGGTGATTTTGTTGTGGAAATTTATAAAAGAAAAGATAAGAGAATATCATTTAAATATACACATAATATGTAAGTATATGTAAATATATATATAAGATGTGTAAATTTTATATATGTTTGCTACATAAGTGTATATTGTTCAAGAATACTGTATGAAGCGCATTTAATAAAAGAGAATATTTATAGATCTAAGTTGAGCGAAAGGATATGAACGACGCGCAGTTTTCTATAGAATAAAGGAACTAAAAGGAAAAAAGAAAATTCTCATTGAAAAAATATTAAATTTCACGCACATATATACATATCTATTTCATGTAAATGTTACAATGTGTTTTTGTATGTATGAATGTATTAAATTGGCTTTTAAATAACTCTTATGGGTGATTGAATTTTTCAAGTGAAAAGAAAATATGCAAACAATTGAATTTTTTTTTTAATTTTTTCCATTTTTATAAATTCTACTGATGTTGTTAAAAGTGTTTTCAACTAAACACTCATTTGTTGAATTCGTCCCTAATGTAGCAAATATTCGTATCTATCTTTATTATTGTATAGGCGATAGTATGCAACTACAAAATTTTTTACAATACAAAAATTAGTATATACCTATATAAGTATAGGGCGCTAATGCATAGAATTTGATTTTGTTCGCATAACAGAAACGAAGTATGCAGAAATGCTGTCATACTAGTATACATACATATATACGATATGGTAAATTAACATTAAGAATAGTTATTGTAATGTTAACAATAATAATAATTCTTTATTGTAACCTATTATAATTTTAATGTTTTATGTACACATTATAAACCTGAACATTAACATATACATTGTAATAGAAATTCATATCAAAGTTAAATGAAATAACATGTTACATATTTATAATAAAATAAAAATGTAAGAACAAAACGTATGTGTAGAAAATACAAAATTAAAAAAAAATATTGTTAAAGTTGGTTGTTTTCCAAAAAATAACGAAAAAAACGAAAATATGTTGAAACAAAGCTTTATACAGCGTCTTTTATACAGGGTGTTTAGCATAAGGTGGCAAATAATTTCAAGGATGATTCTTTGATCAATTTCCAGCAAAAATTGTATGGGTAGTAGTGTACTGTGAGAGATAGAGGAAAATGTTATATGGATTAGCTTTTAGATCTCATCATAGCGTATCCAAAAAAAAAAAAAAAAAAAATAATAACAAAAATTTTCGAAAAATTTCG